TTTTCGAGGTCTACCACGTGGACACTTGATAACCAGAGAGAGACCCACGGGTATGACCAATGTTCTCCAGAAGGAGCCGATTAAAGCAGCGTCTCCTAATCAGTCCAGAGATGTGTCGGACGTTGTAATCTAAAAATGTGGTACTACACGCAGACTCAGTTCGAAGAACTGATCAATCTTGGTAGCGTACACTTACACCAACCAGTGAGTACACTTCGTTTAGTTGTCAACCGACTTGGCAATTCAGAATTCTGAGAAAAACAGTCTATTTCCAGTATAACATTGCTTAAACCTGATAGAATGATAGCTGTTCATAAGCCATGCAACATACCATTTGTTATGCTCCTGTTGTGGCGTTCGATTTTTCAGGCAATGTGAACCTATTACACTCGTACACATTTTGTGCGCTCATTTTTTCTAAAATTTTTATATCAAGGCCATAAAGGCTCAGACAAACATTGCGTACAAAATATTTTACTCTATAAGCGTCCTGCTTTGGAGAATTTGAGCTCATGGCTGTTTGGTGCCGATAATGACAAACTTTAGGTTGGTATGATCGTACACCTTAAAAATGGACTTGAAATTGTACCCAAAAGTGTTTATTGAAGAGCAAGGGATAATTGTAAATGAATACAAGAATCCATGGAAATATTATTTCACATGTCGTCTGCATGCAAACAGATAGTAGGGCCAGATCAGCTCGGTTTGTTTTTGAGAACGCAGTGAAGATTATAAGTTTTGAACAGCGAGCCTCAAACTTTGACGTGGTGTATGTCCCAACCTAAGGATAAGTCGATGCTACGAGACCTTGGAATAAAGCGGAGGTCAACGGCAATCAGACCCCGGAGTCAGAATGACCGCCAAACGGACTACGAGGTTTGGAAAATAAAGAGAGGCCAAATTCAGGGGCGCAAAATAAATCACCAGATAAAACCTGACTACTTGAAAAGTTCGAAAAATAGGGGTGCGCACTGACTTCCTAAAATAGAAAGTATCCTATTGAGCCATGAACTATAACTGCCCAAACAAACTGGAGAAATGGGAACAACGCTCGTTTCACTTCCACACCCGAGGTATTATTGCCACAAGGAAAAGCTCGCGGATTGTATGGCAACGAATCTAGTCCTTTTGTAGAAGCTAGAGTGCATGGGTTAATAAACGTTAGCCTAATCCCTCGTGTCCTTGCTACATTTATGTCAATCAGCTGGAATGTTTCTACCGAGATTTGCCTCTTAGTTGAGCTGGTTGGATGTTTGGTTGAATCCAACAGGGAAGGGTGTCTGACTGGTTACTGTGATAACTCAGGAAAACGAATAGCAGACGGATAGTAACCGAAGTGAATTCAGCGCAAACGACGCTTAATCCATCTTTTGTAAGCCTATCGATGTTATACCTGAAAAGGTCGATAGGAATGGAAACGAAGAGGCCTAGGTGAAAAGTCGGTTTGGTCCTGATGACCACGTAGAATTAGATAACAGGTAGCTCAAAGTTTGAAGCTAGATAAAATTTCCGCAGAATCCAGGACAGCTCACTGAACAGTTGGATTTGTTTATCTGAAGTACACGAGGATTATGTACGGCTCTATGTAACTAGAATCGATCTATATAAGGAGCCATATTGGACATGAAACCACATCACTATAGAGAGCAGTTGGGAAAACTAACCATAGCTGCCTCACAGTGATGGTGAGAGCCACTTCTGCAGGCGGTGGGTAATTCGGCCTCCCTCAGCAGTGGCAACTAGGCACCGAAAGAATCCTACAGCTGAACCATATTTTATTACCTATAGCCGAGTAGACAATCGATGTTGGTGTTTCAGCGGAAGCACTGGCAATCGGTATTCCTTTGTCCTACCTACAGCGTGAGCAAATACCAAAATATCGTTAGACGTAGCATCTTTGTGCTATTCTTTTCCGTCATTGTGCTGGCGGCACAGATAGACAGAAAACCAGTTGTTAGAAGAGGCACGACAAGAAACGACGAGGAACTCACCACTAGAAATTCACAGCTCGCAGTAGTTGGATTCTTCATGCCCATTTGAAGATAGATGTCTTCCGTGGTAACTGACTGCTTATAAAACAGTTCGTACCTGCGGAAAATGGCAGTAGCAATGCGGAAAATAGATTCTACGCGGAAAAAAATGACAACGCTTGGACGAACTGCTCCATATAATGGCGTAGAACTTTTGTTGGAATTGCAGTCTGACTGGGCTTTGTGTAGTTTGTTTTCCTTCATCCATCCAACCATTGCAGGCGTAAAATACATGTTTGTGCGATTTCCGTTACCAGAAGAAGTCACCCGAAAGTACAAACAAAGCTGCTTCCTTTTAAGAGTTTTCATTTCTCAGAATGATTCGGCTGTTTAGGAAATCCCAACAGAACAGCCAACCATGATCCCTCCAGAGGCGTGGCCTCTTCAAAGACGGAAATCATTACGTTTCGGTTTGTTAACCAAGCAACATCATCATCATCGACAGCATGACATCGGTGTTCAAAACCGATGCTTCACTGCCGTACAACCATGATTTAATTGAAAGCCTTATTGCAAAGAAAAGAGCAAAGCAGGACGGGGAAGGGACTTAGTGCTAGCTTACCAGAATCATTCCAAGGTGTTTATACCTCAAAACATCCACTCAGGCGATCTGGATAGAAACGGACAACAAGAACGCCACCGACATCGGTTGACAGCCATATATTTTA